CCAGTCCGTTGGTGTTTGCATTTGTCACTCATAATTTTTAATGGCAATTGGCATTTTACTTTGCATTTTTTGGTACAGGACACGTCATTAATGAGGTATTTCATCAAGCGTGGCATTCCGCCCCTGTATAGTTACATTTATCAGACATTATTATGTTAAAACTGCCCAGTGAACTCTGATTACACCGCTCAGATTTTCATAATGAGCAAGTCAGTCGATACTTTCGGACGAAATGTGCACCTTTATTTGTTGTCCATAACTTTAGCATTTGCTGCAACAAACTAAAATTCAAAATTTAAATGAGAAAGAATCATGGCGCTACTATATATAGATCCTTGTCTTTTATTAGTTATTAAGAGGAATTAACACAGACGTGGCAAAACCATAAAATTCGAGGATTAACCAGTTCAAAAATATGAAATCTTACTGATATGGAAAAAAATTAAAATGATCATCACGCAACAATGTTATTCCTGGCCATGTGGGAGTACACGCGCACCCAAGCATTTGCGTGAACGCGTTCCTGAGGCGACAACTCGGCCTCACAGCTTTTAAGTTACGTTTCATGCGAAAGTCACTTATCTTTTTTGGGACGCTTGGGTACGCGGAAAAATGTCAAACTTCGCGATGTTGCCAGTACAACAGCAAGGTGTGGACCATACGGATATTAAAACTAATATTGAACGTTGCTTAAGTAAATCCGAAATATCTTCATAACGTTTTATTTATAAGCCCTTAAGAACTCCTAACTGTGTGTCCTATGATCACACCTGAAGCGGAACCAATTTGCACTTATAGATCCTACATACGTGCACTTTACATATATTATAAAATGAAGTGTTTAAAATATCAATATTAAGTTGTTTGACGTTTGTAATAAAATGCAAAACAAATAGTCACGAATTATGTAAGAAGTGCTAATAAATGGAGAAATTTTTGCAGCGAAGTCCGTGTTTTTACATGTACTGCACATTCAATAATGACCCATTAAGAACATACAATTCTGTGCTCTTGACCAAAAGTAAAATCTAACAGTTTTTATGGCATTTGTATAATGTAAACAAGAAGACATACAAGAAATTTACAAATAAGTGAACAAATAAGTAAGTCAATTGAATAAAAATTTACTTGGATATTATCCATCGTCTAGTAAATATAAAACGTAAAACGACGTTTCGGAGATGGGACTCTATATCCGTCTTCAGGTTCCTACACAGTTGGGCCCACTAGATAGAGCTAATCCCTATCTCCGGCCTAATCCTACATGGTAGATAATATTAAAATGATTATTAGGAAGATAAGATGGGGTTGTGTGGGCTGGATTGAATCGACTTTGTTTGAACAGAGTTCGGCGATGGGCTGTTGTGTTCTTAAGCAGCTTTGCGACTGTCAGTTGCTGAAGATGGCCTCTCTCTGCTCTGTGAAGTTGGAATGGCGTTACACATCTTGGTACGGATGGACTGGAGAGGTATGGAAGGAGGATCACTGTCAAGGGAAATAATATAGAAGCATCTGCCCGAAGATTGAACCCAGCGGAATGATTGATGGTGCGATCAAACGTAATGTTTTCGACTGCAACGTACAGCGTGTTAATGGCATCGCTAGACACGGGAACAATAGCTGATCGGTAAATGGAGAGCAATCTTATCACAAAACACAACGAGATTAAAAGGTCGATTTCAGTTCCTCTGCACTAGCGCACAAATCATATGTGCGCCACTCAAAATGACTCACATCAGATGAGTGACTGTGCGCAATTTGATTTAATTACGAAAAAAATCAGCAGACATGGGACCCAGGTACCAGCTTACACTAGCAGTACTCACAAGCAGCTGCAGTACAAACAAGAGAATTTAGCTTCAGAGCTCCTCGGAAAAGTTTCTTCCTTCACGTATGAGACTCAGTTATCCTGTTTACTGTCAGTATAATACATTTTCTGGAAATGTTAATTTACATCGGAAGAAGATAAACATTTCCTTCTTGTTCTAGAAATTGTGTTAACAGTCTTGTAACGATTTTCAAACACTTGTAAATTACTATTGACAGCACATACCACAAGAACTATTACACGTAGTACGTGAACTATAGTCTAGACCAGGGGTGGCCAACCCAAATGATCTTTCGGGCCACTTTGGAAATGCATCATAACTCCGCGGGCCACATATAAAATTATATATCCCCATATTAGATTTAGATACACTATAGACATTTTTTTGGAGTGAAAAATTGAAACATAATGAGTTATTATTATTGTGTTTACTATTATTCTTACATGTAAACATAGATAATATAATAATAATGATAAAATAAATATATTTTGTAAAAGTGT